TGGGGGGTGTTTTGCATGGTCGCGTAGTTTTGGACGTAGTCCCAGTACGGAAGGGTGAGGCACTTGTATTGGCCCCCGAGACTGCGCAGCATGTTCTCAAACCCGAGGAGGAACTTGCGATGCCAAAACAGAAACACGCACGTGCCGTGCGCCTCGCGGTTGCCCATTTGTTCTTGGTGAATGAGGACAAACTTTTGGTACAGGCCACGATCCATGGCGATCTCTATCGCGGACACGAACGTTTCTTTTTCGGCAGCGGTGAGTGTATCCCAGGACTTTCGAATACGGGGACAGGAAGGATCAGAGGTGGGTGCCGGCGTTGGCTTGGCAGTAGACGCAGGAGTAGTGGCTGGTGTACGGGCTGGTGTACGGGCTGGAGAAGGCTTGGGGGTAGTGACCGGAGTTGAAGTTCGAGTGGGTTTGGGGGTAGGCTTGGACGTAGTGGTCGCTTTTGGCTTTGGCGTTGGGGCTCGTTTCGATTGCAGCCCTCCCGAGTTCCCTTCAGGCAACCGGACGAGTGCTCCTTTGGACGCAGTGGTCACTGTTGGCTTTGGCGTTGGAGCTGGTGTCGATTGCAACACTCCAGACTTCCCTCCGGGCAACGGGATGACTTCTCCTTTGGCCGACTTTAGGTAGCACACGCCGTCGAACCAGTTGAACGCCTTGCACCCCTTGGTGGCTTTGCAGTCACTGCAACACTGCCCTGGATCCGTTTGGTCGGTGGCAGCAATGTCGTTGCCAACCAAGTCGACATCAACTAGTACGGTGCATGTTTGGGCGAGGGTTTGTACTGCTGCCAGCACCGAAAGCGCCACAACGATGCAGGCGTGAGTCGAAAGGACCATGGCGCGTTGGCGATTGTAAGATGAACAATGCAAGATTTGGACGACCAAGTTCCGAATGGGTGTATTCACAGTTTTGTGGTGTCGTTCATTGGTGTTTTGATTATCTTGTTTTTGGTAGTTGCAAAGTACGCACACATGGAGTTGTATTTGAATCCCATACGAATCTGTTGCAATATCTTGACGATTTAATTGGGTGAGATGAAACATATCCAAATGTTCTTGTCAGAGTATGGTTCCTGGAGCACTCGCGTAAAAGCCCGTCGTCAGGGCCAGATAAGCTTATTATCAAATCGACTCGGAACTGGAGCCCTTGGCGAATGTCGTTAGAGAATAGATTAAAGAACCACCTAAGCCAATCAAATCACGTCCAGTCGAATTTCTACCAATTCAAACGCTTGATTCCGCCCAGTCCCTCGGCATTAACAGTAAGCAAAAGCTTATCATGGTCATAATTTCATGTTTACTGTAAGCCATTTTCCCCCTCCACCGAAATATATGGTACACATTGCATATAGTTATTGGTGGTGCTGACGTATGTATGTAGAGGTGCGTGCAGTATTCGTTCAAAGTTCATCTGCTTGGGTTGTTGCAGGTAATGCATCAATTGTTGACACTTTTTTGGTCGAATTTTGGACCGGACTTCATACCGGTATTTCTATACCGTGAAGCGTATATAGTTTTAGACAGCCTTTTAGTTTTAGACACCCCAAAAGGTTCTTGAATATAGAGTATAAAGGTGTTCCCCAGTACCTCCCCCACAGAATGCCTCTTATAATACATATTACCTCTACAGCCTAATAGAATATTATTTTTCGGAGTTTATTTTGCCGCCAAAGCATTGTGCGGCGCTTTTTGACACGTCAATCGACAACCATGGCTGACGTCCACGAGGAGGCGCCAATGCGTCGCAAAGGACGCCCACCTTTCAAATACGGCAAGAAAGCTCATGTGCGGCTCTTCAAGAACAAGACAGTCGACTATCACCACCGTATGAACGCCATTCAGCGTGTCGCCGAGGTTGGGATGTCTGCCTTCCTGGACGGCTACTGCGTCAACGCATCTCCAACTCAACGCGAACGACTAGAAAGAAAGTGTATGGATGGATTAAACAGAAGGATCGCATCCAGGAGATGGCCACAGAAACACGGACGTCGCGTCTCAAATGCGCTCGATCTCGCGGAACTGGAACGACACTGCCACCCGCCGAAGAGGAGCAGCTGGCCCACTGGGTGCTCGGTATGTGGAAGGACGGCATCCCTGTTACCTACCACATGCTTCGCGTCATTGCACTGGAGACGGCGATCGACTTGGGACTCACTGAAGACGAGTTCAAGGCTGGTTGGCACTGGGTTCGTGGCTTCAAGCGCCGCCATGGTCTGTCTCTTCGCGCAAAGACGAGGACCGGCCAAGATTCCAGCCAGGACGGGACAGCTACCCTTGCTGAGTTCTCTGAGCGCGTGCTCATGTGCGCCATGGCCAACGACGTCGATGTGATCTACAACGCCGATCAGACTGCCGTCAACTACGAGTACCTACCATCGAAGACCCTCAGCCCGACGAAGGACAACACCGTGTGGATCAAGTGCGGTGCGAAGACAAAAGAGCGCGCGACTGCAATGTTGCTGGCGGACACGACCGGGAAGAAGCACCCCCTCTTTCTCGTGATGAAGTCAAAGAAGTCCAAAATTAAGGAGGTTGTCCAGGAGAATCTTACCACGCGACAAGGCTTCGGACGTCAAGTGTGGGCTACCGTTGAGCCACTGCAGGAGCGCCATGGCTGCCGCATGTTCGGAAATCCCACGGCTTGGTGGAACTCGGGCTTGTCGTTGGCATTCCTGGAATACCATTTCGCTAGGCGTGAAGGCGGCAATCGTCCCACAAGAAGGTCATCCTCTTGTGGGACGATTTACGGATGATGTCGTGGCCTACGCGGAGTCCATCAACATCATTCTGGAGCGTGTGCCACCGCGTTTTATCTGGTGCTGTCAACCTGCCGATGTCGCATGGATTCGTCCTCTCAAGACGAACCTGCACGATCGTTGGCTTGTGGAAATCCGGCGGCAGCTTCGGAACAGCAAGGCTGCCAACCACAACCTCAAGCTCGCGGGTCCATCGAGATCTACAATGGTTGAGTGGATTACTGGGACATGGAACGAAGTACCTGAAAGCGTGATTTTGAATGGGTTTCGCAAGTGCCAGCTCGTCGACGGAGCTGTCGTTGAGGTGGTTCTGCCGGGGGATAGTCTGGACGTCGGTGACATTGCTGATTTGATGGCTGACTCTGCCGTCGAAGAGACCATTGATCCAGCTCTGGATATTGACGCCATCGATGCCATCAGCTCACCTGAAATTGTTTCGTTGTAGATAATGTATTATCTTACCATTTGTATGAGCTATTTTATAATGTTTCCCTTTGTTGTCTGATACCCCTAACGTTTTATAATGATCCACTCCAAATACCAACGATTTCCAATTATCCGAAAATTCAGAGTCTGGATAATTGCCCCGTAGGTGTCTAAAACTATAAACGCTATACGGTAGCTCCTGAACTAGAACGAATATTTTAATTCTGAGAGTGTCATAAGAAAATATACAACGAATCAATTTTCTTTGACGCATCAAGTAGAACAGTTCAATATCACTTCAGATTTGTACCGAATTTAATTACTTTGCTCTAAAACGTCATTGCTTTTTTCTAATTATGACACTGGTAAAAGAACTTGATCTTTGTATGTGGTTAATAAAATTTGCAAAACAACATGATCCTAAATAAAATTGAATGCAAACGAGCTTGGTTTCCTCTAACAACGACCAGTTTTCCTCCATCCAAGATGTCGTCGCCATGATCTCTACGGACAACCCGGCAGGAAACAGCCCGGTACAGCCCCGTATTTGCATGGATCCCGACGACGAAACTATGGTGATTTCGCGTTGAAGTCGTGAGATGGAGGCCTGGAGCTCCTGGTGATTTCCGTTCGACGTCGAAGAGGACTGAGTCCGGGACGTGTTCCGGGCGGGTCTAGTCGGCGTCGACGGAGCAACCGGTGTCGTCTGGGGGACCCATCGGAAACCATCCGTTCGTCTCTCGATGTCCACATCTCGCTCAATTAGGTACTGCAGGCAGATTTCGATAGTCTCACGTCGAACAGAGGCTCCCCGGAGGCACGCGGTCACTTCCGTATCGCTACATCCATTGATCATCATAACCACGACCCTATTGGACTGCAACCCAGCCTCCCGGGAGGCGTCCGCGATCCGCCACGCATACTCCGGGACGGTTTCCGTAGACTTCGGGTGGGAGTTGTCAGCAATCTCGGCCATCTTTCCACTCAGTGTCTTCTGAATGCACTCCTTCCGGAAAGCCTCCCAAGCCTCCACCCATGAGAAAGGCTCGCTGTCACGGCACCGGCGAGCCCACCAGTCCTGGACGGAAAGTACCACTGGATGTCAGGCGGTCATCGAAGATTCAAACGACCTGGGTATCGTTGAGCCCATACCTCCTTTTTGATGGTGTCGAACTTCGCCAGAAAATGTTCCAAAGGGATAGTCCGGTCACACTATCGAACTTGGGCGCGTACTTCCGAGCATCGGACATGGCCTGACGTGAAGGCGAACGGGGCTCCAGGGGTGAGTTGGGCTGTCCGTGACCAGTGACGTCTCCTCCGGGTCCGCCTCCCGGAGGGCAAGGGGGACCACCGTAGTACCCGCTGGATCCTCCACCACTAGGAGGTCCCGGAGGGTCACCTCGGCCCCCGAAGGGTCCACCATAATTACCCCAATTCGAGCCACTTCCAGGGGGTGCGGAAGGATTCGTTCGACCTGAGTAACCACCCCCGTAGCCGCCCCGGGACTGTGACCTTCCACCACCGGGATCCGGACTATAGGAGGCCGGAGGGGCAACCCCGACCCGGTTTCACCTGGGGATGGCTGCGTGTACCCTACTCCGTGCGGCTGGCCATGGGCCGCTGAGGACGGATACGAGTCGGCATCGCGGTTGGATCGCGACATGGGAGATGCCGTCGGCACAAACGGTAGCGACGTGGTGTCCCGGACCGTAAACGTCGGTGGCATCCGGAGCGAAGCTGATTCTGTCAGCACCTCAATCTGCGGCATAAAACAGGTTTGGTCGAAGGCTCGGTGAGGCGTAGATGTGTTTAAGCGGGTGGCCGGGAGCAAGGGCGCCGTAGTAAACGTAGTATGCGTGATCCCGATTCCTTTAGACGGGGACCCCATCCGGGACAGAGTCGGGATCCCATATTTCGCGTACGGGGCATTGTACGTCTTCTGGGGTGTCCTTTGCTGGAGTTCCACAGCTCTTTGTTCCGCTTGTAGCTGGACCCGCTGGCGTTCCAACTCTGCATACTCCTGGCTCAGGGTAGGTCCTGGACCGACCGTTCCCTATCCCTCAACTGCAATTTCTCCGTTTCCAAACAGGTGCGCGCTTCCTCTACTTGTCGCAGCACCTCTTCATTGGCGTGCCTCTCCCGTTCGAGCTGATCCCATACCCAGGACGGGGGGTATTCTCCGGACTGAGTGCGTTCTTGAGTAAGTGTCACGAACTGATCCTGGACCAACTGTTCGGCGTCCTGTTCCGAAAGCTGGGTCTGTTTGTACCGATTCTGCTCGGTCAGGATAGACACCTAGTTCTCGGGCCGTCTCTTCGCTCTCCAGGAGTCGTCGATGCTCTTCTTCCCAGACTCGTTCCATCCCTTGGCGTCGCTGTACTTCCTCCTTCAGACTCTGTGCCCGTTCCCGTAGGGCTTCGCCGAGGTCCTTCTTTTCCTATTCCAGGATCGGGCAATTTACAAAGACGGGCGTTCGCAGACTCCCGGAAAGAGAGGTCCCGGAGGGCGGCTCGGAGGGCCTCCTCTACCGACTCGAGTTCCGAAGCCTTCGACTGGGCCTCGCCCTGGGCTGAAGCCAGGTCCCGGTCGTACTGCGACTGGAGTAGACCCCCCTCGAGTTGTCCTCATCACGGACAGCTTCCCGTACTAGATAGATTTCCTCATGATGGCTCCGCTTGAGGGTCCGGAGTTCTTCCCGGAGACTGGACATGGGGCCGTCGTGATGCAGATGGTCCCCCCGGCGGCCCACTTCGAGAACCCGTTCCGCATCCTTCTGGACCCGGGACAGTACTTCTTCATGCAGACGGCGGGCCACCAGGAGTTCGGAATTCTTGTCCCGTATCAGGAGGGCTTCACGTTGGTCCCATTTCAGAGCCAGTTGTCGTTAAGTTCCCGGGTCCGGTCATCCCACGAGAGAGCATTCTTTTCCGCTTCCCGAAGCAGAGCATCATTAGCTTCGTTGGTTACCTGAGTCCGGGCAACGTCCAGCTCCCGAGTATAACAGTCCCAAGGTAGGTCAGGGCCTTTTGGAACTCATCCTGACGGCGACTTTCATGGGTTTCCGCGGCCCGTAGCAATCCTTCGGCCATCTCTACCAACTGGCATTCCTGAACACCCAGTAAACAAGCCCGGTCCTCGTTGGCTTGTTGGAAAAACTGTAGGGACGCCGTTCGTTGTTGCTCTTCAATGCCCCGATGAATTCTTCATAGGCCTTCTGGATGTCCCGTATCCCTCCGGTGGCCACCATGATCGTGGCTAAGATGGTATTTCCTGGTATTCTGGGACCGTTCCAGGTAGGCGTTCCGGTAGGCGTTCCTGATACCATACACCCGTACCCCTCTTGGACTAGGGAGGTGTATCCGGGAGCTGGAACATGTATCGAATAGCGCTCTAAGGTTTCGGCGTTGGACTCACGACCGTCGGTGTCAGTTCTGGCCAGGGTCAGGGTCGGACCGTCGGTACCGGTTCTGGTCAGGGGAGTCGTAGGCACTAAGGCCAGGTCTGCCGCCGATGCCAGCGCCGGTCTCTTCAACGGTGACCGCGTCTCTGGACGGTCGGTCGGGGACGACACGTCTGGTGACCAGTCAGCTTTCCGCTTCCGTCCCGGAGTCTATACTCGTGCGCCGTCATCGTCTTCCAACGGGACCAGACCCATGGCCAGAGGCTTCTTTCGTAGTAGGCGTTCGCTGTCCAGGAGTCCAAACTCCGGGGCATCTCCCACCAGACGACGTGATTGGCGCACCGCTGTCGTCGTGAGTTCTTCTGTCGACATCTTTCCTTTCTTCTTCCGCGCTTCCTTTGCAAACACCTACCCTGCTGCTGCCGCGGCCGATCCAGGTGTTCATGCCTACGTGAATCGACTGTTAAAGAGGATTGCCGTATCGTCGGGGCTAACGCACGAACTGACGTCACACAACTTTCGACACGGAGATGCCCAGCATGCCAATGGTCACAGCTGCTTGAGTACGTAATGGATCTTTGATCGTGGAACCTATCATCGACAAACAAGGCTTTCGCGTACATTTTTAACAAGTCAGCAGAAGACAAAAAGATTGCAAAGATGTTGAGCGGCAGGACTCCTACCGGCAATGTTGTCGTACCTGACCTTTCAACACTCGATCCGGCATCCTGCTTTGCTGTCGTTCGTGTCCAAGCTGTGGCCTTCCAAAACTGTGTTGGGCTGGCACACCCCAATTTGTTGATCAAGCCGGCGGTGCTAGAAATATTAATGGCGAAGTTATTGTGGCACTTACCTTTCTTGATGCAATCGTGTCCCCATGGTCCTGCTATGGCGAGGCTTGCGCAAGCGGCAAACGCTGCTGGTTTCACCGTTGGAAATCATTTGGCGTGGGCGGCATCCATTGAGCGGCCACAAGAAGCCGTGGTCGAAACACCGCACCAAGAGCTAGGTACACGTGCGAACGACACCATTGCGCAGCAACAAGCCGTGATCCACGAACTAGTTGCCATCAACAAGGCACTTGGCCTACGTGTCGCTGCCGTTGAAGCACACGTCGGTATTGGTGCGGCTCCAGCACCTCCCATCGCCATGCCATCGCACGAAGACGAAGCCACTGTCCCATCGAAACGCCACAAGGCAGCCGCCACGTCCTTGGCAGACTTGTTGTTCGAGTGGTACGCTCGAGATCCCCCTATGTGACAGGTTGGCGCAGACCGCAAGAAGAAATCCGAGGCGAAGTTGGTCGTTGGCTTCATGAAGCTTTTCCTCCACGACGGTCTTGAGTTGGATCCTAATGCACCATCCCATCGCGACGATGTCTAGCGCTTCGGATCGCTCGCCGACCAATGCGTCTTGAGTTTAGTACACGACATTGCGCCAAATCATCGCAGCAGTGGGTCGTTACTGCGTGTCCTGCGCGAGCAACACCGCATCGGGGCACTCAATACAATCATTGGGTTGCTCAATGCAAAAGTCGCACAAGGTGGAATCAAAGACCCGACTCCAATTCAACATGTAGCCACCACCTTAGTAGTCGACAACATATAATATATAACAATGACTGGACTTGAACCAGCACCTCTAGTGTTGCCACTAGTGCTCTCCCTAAGCTACATCGTCGGAAGGTCAAATCGGGCAAACAAAAACATACCATTCATACAATATCATAACTCATCACGAACACAAGTATAAAGAAATGGGGAAGACATGGTTTCACCACGTCGTGGTAACGGAGCGTTCCTGAAGTGGTCACGGGTCAGGCATCTCGTGGACACCACTCGAACATTGTATCGGCACGGCATTGGACACGGGAATGGGGTAGACATGGCGCAGATATCGACACGGGCTGGTCATGGGTAGGCACTAGGAGGACAAGCATCGGGGCAGACACTTCGTGGACAGGCACTGGACGGACATGACGTAGCGCTGGGTGGACATCGGGCTC